ACGGCAACCTCATTGTTAAAAAAGCGCTGGCAATTACGTTTTGCACAATCTGCAATACATACATATACGCACACTTCTGAGCTTAAATCTATTAAAGCTTAAAATATTGACTCATAGAAAGTAAATGCTAAAACCGCAGAATACTTTGTTAAATGTCTCTCTTACTATTTTTGCTACCAGTAATTTCTTTTGAATGTTAGAACTACACTTTCAGTGTGTAAATTACGATAAATTTCCTCATAGTTTGGCAGATGCGCACAGTTAAATAGCAGGGAGCTAATAGTTGAAACAAGAAGAAATGACACATTAGCCTTTACAGCCTGTCGATGCACTTCCTTCGTCAGCTCTAATTTTACAGCTAAAAAGCGTGCAAGCGTTCTAGTTCATGTCGAGTTCGTCTTCTTACGCCTCCAGGGCTAATGCGTCCTTCACGCCACGACAATGCTTAACATAAAAAGCCGCAAGCATGGTTGAAAACCGAAAGTCGCGTGCCGTTCAACCAAGGTGTTTTTGTTCGCGCAATTTCCTCCTCCTCGATTCAAGCAGGTTTCAAGCCATAGCAGCGTTGCAAGAGTATATAAGGAGGTTGAAATCCCAACGAGGCATCTGCACACATCGACTTATTCTCACTTAGCAAAATGAACGCTCTTCATGTTTCCGCACTCGCCTTTGCTCTTCTCGCTGCAGTTTCAGCAAAATCCAGTGAGTCTCCTATGATCATCGACCCAATTTTATGCTAGTAATCCAATCTATATGTAGAGGTTCCGCTCAGATACTCATAATTCATGAGACATCGAGTCAGTGAATATTAGCCTGTATCTGAAACCAACATAGTAACCTTTTACTTACTTTTCAACTACTTATATCTCGCATGGTTAGATCAAGAACAAGAAAAAAATTATAGCTTTCGACTTATAAGAAGGGTAAAATAATATAAGCAGACAGGGAACTCTAGAAGAAGCTACAATGACTTTTGTATTCAAAAAATCTACACCGAACGCGGTTCTTGGTTTTCGCAATCAAATTACCACTGTTGTTGTTCGATTCTTCAAATCAACTCCTAAACTTGATTCAACAAGCATTGCAGTGCAACTTCCTCTCCAACTTTTCTCAACGAATGTAGCTACAAAAACTCGTACTCAGACCAAAAATATAAATCAGGGTACAAATCTTAATAACTACGACTCAAATCTGTACAATACACAAATTCTACATATGATTTTGCAGTCGTGGCACGTTCAGCTGGGAGCAACGCATATGGGGACGAACCGGCTGTTGTCACGCCACCTCCCTCATACGAGGGCGAAGTCCCTGAGGAAACTACCATAATACCCACAGAAGAGGAGCCACAGGCAGTTGAGAACGAAAATCCTGCCCCGGAGGCTGCAGTTGTCGAATCTGGATACCGCTCAAAAAGACAGGCAGGCGACAATTCCTACGGTGACGAGCCTGTCCCAGTTACTCCAGCAGCCTACGAAGCTGCCGAAGTGACCACCCTCGAACCTGCTCCTGAGGAAGAACCCGCTTCAGTGCCCGTTGAGCCAGTCGCTTCTGAGCCTATTGTGGAAGAGTCAGGATACCGAGCCTAAACGCTCAGTCCTTGTTCTATAAACCCACATCACTCTTCCACAACTGCTTTACCAACTTGAATGCCATTACGATGTTTCCTTTTCAACACTGCTTTATTGATTGTAAGTGATCATGAAATGATGTACAAACAAGCTTTTCAATATTT